AAATGCCGCACCTGCTCCCGCCAGAGGAGTAGTATGTGACCTCGATGTGGGCGATGTCAAACCTATCGCGTTGCGCCCAAATTCAATTGGACCGCACGTGGCTGTCAAGGTATACGAGCTCCTCAAGAAACTGCTGGAGAATAATCTGATTAAACATTCTGAATCGCAGTGGGCATCTCCGATCGTGATCGTGCTCAAGAAAAATGGAGTGGACATCAGGATGTGCATTGACTATCGACTTGTGAATAATTTCATCCAGCTGTCTAGCTACCCGCTACCTCTTATTGACGACCTGCTAGTCGGTTTTGAGAAAGCACTCTGGTTCATGAGTCTGGATATGACCAGCGGGTTCTGGGCAATCAAGATGACCGAAAGAGCCAAATTGATTTCAGTTGCGTATGTCCGTTTGGGCATTTTCAGTGAATTCGAATGTCATTTGGTCTAAAAACACACCACCAAGTGATCAATAATTGCCTATGGGGATTCGTGCGTTTGCCACCAGAAGAGGAGTCGGAGGTAGACCAAGAAGTTTTGGATTATCTGAATTTGGATCCCCATGATGATGGACCTCCAGGGTGTGGCACTCCAGGGTGCACCGGTTGTGAAGACGACCATGTTCCTCGGTTGTTGCCGACCCTGGCGAACCAAATGACAGTGTTCAAAAGGAACATCCCTGCTCCAACCCAGATGTCACCTGTCCTAGGGCGCAGCTCTTATATCGATGATATCGCGCATGCCACACCAACTTGGGATGCGTTGTGCGCTGTCTTGGACGCTCTGCTATATAGGCTGCGGTATTGGGATATCTCAGTGAGTCTGCCGAAGAGCGAGTTCGGAAAATTGTCCATCCCGTATTTGTCGCATGAGATTAGCGATGAAGTGATCAGGGCGACACCGAAGATCGATATGGGAGTTCAGGATTTATCGGTCCCATCTACCCTGAAGGGAGTGCAATCTTTCTTGGGCAGTCTGAATTATTTTCATAAATTCATCGAAGACTACCCTGTGGTTGCAGCTTCCCTGTATGAACTCTCGGATGACCAGGTGCGTTCAGGGCGAGATCTCTCCAGGGCAAAGCAGGCGTTTGAGATCCTGAAACACAAGATCGTATCGACCCCAGTATTGAGACACCCTGACAGGACCAAACCGTTTGTCATAATGCCCCATGCAAATCAATGGGCTGCTTGTGCAGTCCTGGGTCAAGAACATGACGGTTTGATCCAGCCAGTGCGTTTTACAGGCCGGGTTCTCCACGATGCGGAATTGAGGTATCACATCGCAGAAAAGGAAGTCATCGCCGTGCTGAGGGTACTACAGGTGTTCAGGACGCTCATTCAGGGTTGCCCACTAATCGTGTACACTAGACACTCGGTTCTGAAGTGGATCATGAAATCCAAGACCGCAGATGGGATATGTGTGCCCTGGGGCGTTCTACTTTCGCAGTGGAATCTGGATCTCAGGAAGGTCCAGCGAGACGAAGATGGACTAGCAGCCATCCTGGGCGCTGGCACCACACCTCGAGAGCATTTAGATGAAGTTGCCGAGGAACACATTACCGCCAAGGCGCGTGCGAAACCGCCATCGATAATCAGCGTGGAGATGTTGAAGATACCTTCCAGGGCATCGTTTTGAGTTTCGATGGTGTTGCCAAGACGTCTACCCGGCAAGGTAGTTGTGGGTGTATTTTGTGGGAACTCCCTGGATGAAAAATCCTGGATGCACAGAGTTTCATCCTGGAAGATGTCACTGTGAATGACGCCGAGTATTATGGACTTTTGAACGGTCTGTCCATGCCACAGGCCAGGCGCGTCAGGGACTTGATCGCTGTGGGTGACTCACGAATTGTCATCCAACACGTTCAGGGTCTGATCAACTGTAATCAGCCTAACTTGCAAAGACGATTGGCCAGTTGTGAAACACTGAAAGCAAAGTTCGATTCCGTGAGACTGGTGCACGTCAAGCGGGACTTCAATCAGGCAGCGGATTATATGACTTCCAAGACACTGTTGCTTGGAAGATCCTGGAGTGTCCAAGATGATGGAGAACGTCAACATCTGGATCGAGTATCCAAGATTCTAGAGAAGTTGATGAAGTCAGCCGAAAGGCACCCGGCGACTGGCCATTCAGGACTCGTTATCACCCGGGACGAAGAAGGTTGTCCGGACGATCATGGATGCCCTTCTACCCTGGATATCATGGCAGCTCCACTGCCACGTGCAGCTAAAATCTTGGTTGCCGTGACACGGGCTAATGTCCGAGACCAACAAGT